AGCTGGTCATATCTCGAAAATTTCATAAGTAGGGGCGTTCGTAAGTAGAGGTACCACTGTACCCACTATTTTTCTACTAGCGTTTGTGCATCCTAAAATTTTTCCATTCTTTTTCTCATTCTACCACACTACAAAAATTCATCTGCTTGCTCTATTTTTTGCCATCTATGTCCACCTTGTAATTGTTCACTGCATTTCCCATCTCAGACACAACTACCTTGATCTTTTACATTTATTTCTAAAGCCACACTGCTCATTGCATCATACAGTCTAACAGTCATAGCAAATCATTCAAGGCTCTCAAGCAACAACATGACATTGTGTATAAAATGTATTCACACCACTACAAGCATCACACACACACACACACAAATACATTAAATAACCAAGGGAAATCATATATTCTTGTCTTACCCCCTGCTCAGTGTTGAACTATGCTTTCCTTTTTTTTTTTAGATTATTTTTTATCCCACCTTTATTATTTTTATAAATAACTCAAGGCAGCAAACATACTTAATCCTCTTGCCTATTTTCCCCACAACAACAAGAACCCTGTGAGGTGAGCTGGTCTGAGAGAGAGTGACTGGCCCAAAGTCACCCAGCCAGCCTTCAGGCCTAAGGCGGGCCTAGAACTCACAGTCTCCTGCTTTTATTTTGCCAGTTGTCAAAGCACTTGCAAGACAAGCGGTTCTTGTTTAGTCCTTTTAGATCCAGAGACAGTGAACACATCAGTAGATAAGGAGATGTTAACCTTTGTTGCTAACTCTAGCAAACAGATTTAAACAGGTATATAAGAATTAGCAGCACCATACAAGTTTGATAATAAATAAAATAAAAATGCTATAAAAACATAACATACCAATCAAGGTGATAAAAACTCTTCTCCTAGTGTGGGGAGCTACCATAAAGGTGACAGTGGAGAGACCCCAAGGTGGCTTAGATTACAGAGTGCCTAGTCCCAAGGCCTGTGTCCATGCTCCCCATTCCAGGGGCAATGCCAGGGCTTTTTATCAAAGTCTGGCACTGCAATCCCATGATTCTGTTTTGGAGTCAGGGCTCTGAAAGTGACCTTGACCAGATGTTGTACCTGCTCATCAAAAGATTCCAGAGCCTGAGAACTGTAAAGATAAGCTAGTGCTTAACCTAAACAATCCAAACAAGGGTTTTGCCTCTACCCCACACTTCTAAGGAAAAGTGAAAAACAAGCCAGCTAAACATTATGATGATTTTTTATATGTGCAGGAGAAATCAAACTATGTCACCTAAACTCCTTGAAATAATAATGGTCTTCCGCATTGCCACTACAGCTTTCTAATCTGGTACCTTAACCACTAAACCAAACTGGCTTTATTTCCATCATATACCATTCTTACTGCCTTCACCAATCATCCTTCCACTCCATAATCACACAAGACATTCCATAATTCAAGCCTACAGTATTCATTTCATTACACTTCCCTAATTCAACAGACATACAGTAGCTTTCTTTTTCACATTCATGCATTTCTCAATGACCTCAAGAGCATTAATCTGCTCTGTACACACTCTGGCTGCACTGCACTTCCTAAATGTTGCTCACTGAACAAAAAGAAAAGGTGATAATCAGAATTTTGCCAAACACCTTTCCAGGGACACTTAACAAATGAATCTCCTTGTAGTTTTTACATTAATTATTGCTACTTTCCCCTTTGTGTAGGAGAATAATAATAGCATTCCTCCAATTGTCATCCATGGATGCACTCTTCACAAACATACTGAATACTGGTTATTTAATCATAATCTGACCCAAGTTGGAGTCCAAACAGCACCCAAGTCCAAACTGCAGTATGTTTTAGCCTGTTATCTGGTATAATCTATGCTGTGCTTATCTCAGCTTAACTTCTTTTTCCTACTTCATTTTCCTCTCTTTCTTAGTTGACTACTGGGCTGTTGGTCGATTTTAGGGGAAAATACTACTGCCTAAATAAAAACTGTTATAATTGTTAAATGACTGCAACATCTTACAACCCTACATCCACTTACTTTAGACTTAACTTTAGCCTGCTCTATGCATACAGCTCCAGCTTTCTGAGCTTCTTCGAAAAGGTCATCAATACAATCACCACAATCATTCTGCTTGGTACAATTCTGAATTTGGCCATCAGTTCTGGATTGGCAAATCCTGCAGAGTAAAATGGAAAAGTCATATAAAATGTATTGTTTGAGTTAAACATAGCCTATAGGTTTTGGTAAATTTGCTTCTCACAGATCTGTTAAACATTTCAGAAATACATCCACATGTAGAATATCTTTAATAGTGCTGAGTTACATAAGACTATTCCAGATCAATCCAACCATGAAAGAGTACTTTCTCAATTTCAAATACAGTTCTAGTAATAGATAACCAGATATATTTGAAAGCAATTTCCCCTAGAAATTATTTTTGAATCCTAATAAGCTGCTACACAGGCTTAACACCCCTATGAACCAGCAGTTTACAATCAGAGATGTCCTGGTCAAATATGGAGGGCCACTGCCCTCTCAGTCACTGCAAAGGAGGTTGTTACTTTCTGCAAAAATCCATGGTGGTCCAAATGGGATTGGTGCCAGTAGAACAAGGATCAGGAAGGCAATTTACCAATTTTCACTTCTTTTTGCCCCCTTCCAGCCTCCAGAGAAGGAAATAAGATAGAATATGAGACAGAGTGTTTACAAAACTTTCTTAGCGTGATTGCTGCAGGATCTCCTCTTTGTATCCACAAGATTGACTTGAGAGTGTAAATTTAGCCCCCAACAATCTCAAGGTTATTTTTGCTAAAATCAGTCCTTTATTCTGACTGATAACTGGGATACACTGTTTGCATGACATACTACTTCCTTTTGAGACAGATAAGTGAACAGGGCTAGTAAGTGTGCATAAGACTTCAGTTACTTTTATGAGTAGAAAAAATAATTTCCAGACTAAATCAGATTAGGAAACTATTAATCTGTGAGGTTTATAGGTTTATGTTGGTTCCCCTTCTTTATGTTTAACGTTCAAAGCTCATACCTCCACTTCCCATTTGTAGCACATGCTGGTTAGAAACATGAGCTCTTTGTTTCTTATTTGCAGATGTTTCAACTGAAATTTCCAGAAAAGTACAGGTAGTCCTCACTTATTGACCACTTGTTCAGAGACCGTTCAATGTTATGAAGGTGCTGAAAAAATAACTTTACAGCCCATTTACAACCATTTATAACCTTCGCAGTGTCCCTCAGTTACGTGATTGCCATTACAGTCAGTATGCGTCGTCCCGTGTCTGACCTGTGTTTTTTTTGTTTTTCCCCCTTGCAGAGCAGACGGATTGGAGAGGAAAGGAAGAGATTCCACGAGAACACACTGTTTGCTCTTCTACACATCAAAAGCAATGTGATCAGCTGCTAACCCAGCTCTGGGAGCCACAGGTGCTCTATGCAAACAGCTTACAGTACTCTCTTGAAATCTCTTCTCCAATCTCTCCACTCTGTTGGGCAGGAGGAGGGTTTGGCAAAGAAGAGATTGGCTACAGAAATCCCTTGCTCCCCCCACCCTGCAGAGCGGAGAGATTGGAGAGGGATTTCAAAAGAGCATGCTGTTTGCTCTTCTACACACTGAGAGCAAAGAGGGAAAAGTTCAGGTAAGGGGGAGACTGCCTACAGAAATTATTTGGGTTTTTTTCTCCCCCGCCCCTGGGCACAGCAGAGCAGAGAGAGTAGAGATGAAGAGATTTCAAGAGAATATTGTAAGCTGTTTGTGTAGTGTGCCTGTGGCTCCTAGCCCCGGGCTGCTGGTGCAATCGGATTGCTTTCAACGTGTACAAGCCAGTAAGGCACTTGAGCATTTCAAAAGGTGGGGGAGTAGTTAGGACGCAATAAAGGCCAAAGGTGTGAATCTCAGTAGTCTTGTCTTTTTCCAGCCAGAAAGCAGAGTTGCGGTCACACGATTTCCCACTTAGCGACCGCATCACTTAGTGGCAGTCCCAATTAGGGTCGTTAAGTGAGGACTGTCTGTAGTGAACTTTGCTCCCTTGCTATTACCAGTGGGAGGCTTAAAGTCTGATTCTTACCCAGGGGAGGAGGATTACAAAACTATTTTTTATAGTCTTGGAATATTATTGCCATTCTGTCTCTACTGTTTATCTTTCATTGTGTACTGAACTGGTATCTTTTACAGTGGTACCTCTACTTACGAACTTAATCCGTTCCGTGACTCTGATCGCAAGTCGAGTTGGTCGCAAGTCGAGGTAAATTTTCCCATAAGGTTCAATGTAATTACCGTTAATCCGTTCCGGTGTCCACGGACCATGCGTCAGGGGCGGAAAAATGGCTATGGACCATGTGGAATGGGCGGAAAATGGCCGCGGACCACGTGGCATGGGCGGAAAAATGGCCGCAGACCACGTGGCACGGGCGGAAAAATGGCTGCGGACCACGTGGCACGGGTGGAAAAATGGCCGCGGACCACGTGGCATGGGCGGAAAAATGGCCGCAGACCACGTGGCACGGGCGGAAAAATGGCTGCGGACCACGTGGCACGGGTGGAAAAATGGCCGCGGACCACGTGGCATGGGCGGAAAAATGGCCGCAGACCACGTGGCACGGGCGGAAAAATGGCTGCGGACCACGTGGCACGGGTGGAAAAATGGCCGCGGACCACGTGGCATGGGCGGAAAAATGGCCGCAGACCACGTGGCACGGGCGGAAAAATGGCTGCGGACCACGTGGCACGGGTGGAAAAATGGCCGCGGACCACGTGGCACGGGTGGAAAAATGGCCGCAGTTCGTAAGTTGAGGCGAGTTCGTAAGTAGAGGTAAATTGTTGGGGCCGGAGCTGGTCGTATCTCGAAAAATTCATAAGTAGGGGCGTTCGTAAGTAGAGGTACCACTGTAGTCTCTGACTATAAATCTATAAAGTTAGATTTACAATAGTTATTTTCAAAATAAGCTTACATGTAAATCTCATTTCATTTTAACTCAGTTGGTGAAAGTTATAAATCCCAGCTTTAGTTGCAAAATTTACTTCAAATCTTTTTTACCTTTTAGATATATCTGTATCTAAATATAGATATCTATATATCTATATCTAAAGCTAAAGATCTAGCATGGCAATCTTTACATGGCTGATTGTATTTAAAGTAATCTAGGCAGTTCAATGTATCTGGAGGCATCATGTAGGGAAAGGCTTGTCTAGCATCATGAAAACCAGCTGGGTGACTTTGGGCCAGTCTCTCTCAGTCCTGCCTACCTCACAGGGTTGTTGTGGTGGGAAAAATAGGAGGCAGGAGTATTAGGTATGTTTGCCGCATTGAGTTGTATATAAAAAAGGCAGGATAAAAATCTCCTCCTCCTCCTCCTCCTCCTCCTCCTCCTCCTCCTCCTCCAAGACAAACAGGACCTTCTACATCACATACAACTGTCCTCCCTCCTTCTCTAATTTAGGGTGTCACTTGTTAGACCAGAATCTCTCTATATATTAATAGGACTTAGATTAAGGTCAGAAAACACTGTAGGTTACACTACTGCAGGACTACAGATAGATCTACTGGGTTAAACAACTTTCTTTTGCCACTCTAGATACGTTTGGTATGATGTATCTTCTCTCTCTGTGTTAAGTGTGGTGCCTTAAAACAACAAGTGCAGGAGTTCAAACATTTGTCTGAAGGATGTCTGTGGATACATAACATTGGAATCAGCCACCACCACTGCCACCCAGCCCATTGCCAGGGAAAGAATGACAAATACCAAGAGCGTGGAACACCAACGGTGCCTTCAGCTTCAGTAAAGTGATTTGTGGCCCACTCTGTGTATTGTGCCATCTGTTGAACAATCCCACTCTTTCTTCCCCAACACTTGAACCACAGCTGGCTGCTGTCATCAGCTAATCATACAGCGAATGCTCTGCATTTCCCGCTCTACTGGCTGCTGTGGGTGCTGGCTGTAGACAGTTAGACATTCGTACTGGAGGTTTCTTGCAACACGCTGCGCTTGTTTGTAGTGTATAGGCTGTGGTTGGGAGCCCTGCTTAGTTAACATGAGATCCCTGTCTCCATGGCTGTAGGTCACAATAGCATAGTTCTGGAACTGCTTATTTACCATAGTGGCGTTTCTAAGGATGCTGAGAAGAGCTGTCATTTCATGTTATTTTTAATTTTTCTTCCCCGTGACACTGCATATGGCAGCCTTTTGATGGTGTATGGAAGTACATCTCTAGTCTCACTGCCATATGATGTAGGGTTGTTCTGGTAATCATTCAAGCTGTCAGCTTGTCTAGCACAGCTTTTGTAACAGTTTATTATCTCACTATAGCGCCATATAATGAAATATAGTTAAGCAACTACCCTGATTACAAAAGATCGAAGTTGAACTCATGCCATATATAAAAATCTTTTCATTCATGAAAAAAGTGTAACATAATGAAGCAAAAGAGAAGCAGCACATAATCCTTTAAGTTTGCTTGCTAGCATATGTGCAATCATACAAAACACTAAGAAAATATTTCCTCCTCCTAGAAAATATAGATGCAGTTATCAAGGGGATGGGATGGAAACACAATCTGTCTTTTCTACATGCAGAATTGTTTTTTTAAAAATGGAACCTTCTCTTCCCAAATCTTCAGCCAACAGCAGCTTTATTCTTTAATGGCAAGTGTAACTCAATACTTTATTATGAAGAAGAAAAGTTAATAATTAGTTTAATACAAATTGTATCACTTGCTTAAATCTGTAGTTGCAGCAACTGTTCCTTCAGGATTATAGAAAACATTGAAAAGGAAATCTACTACTCTGAAAAAACTTAAGACTCAGCTGAACAATGGATAAAAGAAATAGAAACCTGCAACTAAGAAATAATAACTAAGGAAGGCTTTCCCGTCCTGATGCTTTCCAAATATGGTCCACCATTTGACAAAATATGTCAATTTGCATAGTCCTCAGGTAGTGTGAGATTGTGGGTATTGAAGCCCCAGAAATTTACAGGACACTAGATTGGGGAAGGCTAGACTAAAGTCGTTTTAACAAATGAAAACTTAACAAAGAACAACAATCAAGATTATTATTCATGTAATCTAAATTTTAACAGCAATGTTAGAGCACATTAAGAAATTCCAATATTACCGTATTTTTCCGACTATAAGACGATACTTTTTTCTAAAATCCTTACCCTAAAAATTGAAGGGCGTCTTATTCAAGGAAGTCAAATATTGATTTCTTAATTTTGGGTTGGAAAAGTGGGGGTCGTCTTGTACATGGGGGCGTGGTTGGAAAAGTGGGGGTCGTCTTGTACATGGGGGCGTACTTCCTTGAATAAGACGCCCTTCAATTTTTAGGGTAAGGATTTTAGAAAAAAGTATCGTCTTATAGTCGGAAAAATACGGTAATATTGGAATTTCTTAATGTGCTCTAACATTGCTGTTAAAATACTTCCTTGAATAAGACGCCCTTCAATTTTTAGGGTAAGGATTTTAGAAAAAAGTATCGTCTTATAGTCGGAAAAATACGGTAATATTGGAATTTCTTAATGTGCTCTAACATTGCTGTTAAAATGGTTGGAAAAGTGGGGGTCGTCTTGTACATGGGGGCGTCTTATTGTCGGAAAAATATGGTTGGAATCATTATGCTGTCAGTGCAATCACTGCGTTTACTGGTCCCCAAACATATTTCAAAATCTTACCTCTTTCCAGATATAGGTAGTCCTCGCTTAATAACTGCTCTGTTTATCAACTGTTCGAAGTTACAATGGCGCTGAAAAAGTAACTTTATGACTGGTCCTCACACTTACGACTGTCACAGTGTCCCCACAGTTACATGATCGAGACTCAGGTGCTTCGCAACCAATGGGTGTTTATGACTGTTGCAGCATCCTGTGGTCATGTGATTGCCATTTGCACACTTCACAGCCGACTTCTGACGAGTTAATGGAGAAGCTGGCAGTAAAATTGCAAGTTGCAGTCACGTGATGTCTCGCTTAACAACCCACGGTTACTGGCCTAATGACTGAATGGGAAGTGATGCCGTAAGTCCATTGCAGTCACGTGATGTCTCCCTTAGTAATGAAGTTGCCAGTCCCAAATGCAGTCGTTAGGTAAGGACTACCTGTATCTATAGAAAACCTGATTACTTCTGACACAGTGAATCCCAAACATCTTTGTTTACTTTAGCTCTTCCGTGCACATGCAACAAGTACACAGAGGGGTCCAGCCTCCATGCCCTGCCTTCTATATTTTAAATGTGCATTCACACTTCAGTCTTAAGTCCAAAGCAGGGGTCTTTTCAAGCTCAGAATACTTCTGAGAGTTTGGAGCAATTCTGGAAGACTGCCAGTGAGATTGGAACAGCCCTACTTGAACTTGAAACAGCTGTTTTGAAATCAAAGGCTTTTCACACGTCTACCACAAATCCTTTGGTATGTAACCATCTGCTTTGGACTGTACAATATAAGAGGGACTTCAGTCTGTGTTGTCCTTGCAATTTTACAAGTCTCTTCATTTGGGCAATTCCTTTTGATTTCTGTGGGGTTAATTCTTCTCCAGAAACCTACTTATTTAGAATAGTCATCCCATAATGTGGTTGGGTTGATTACAATTCTGGATGTGTTGGATTACAAGTAACTTCTTCCAATCAGCATTGCTATTGATCTTGGCTATCTTGATTTCCTTGGTAGGCCAAAGAGTAATTCTTCAGTCAAAGCACCTCCCTCCTCCAAAACCTGAAAGCAGTTGACACTGGCGGGTGCCCCAAAACAGCTGACTTAGTGGCAACTAAAAGCTTCAGAGGACTGTTTCTTGAAGCATCTACTTCCAGCTTTTACTCTATTCTAAACAACAGGGTAATGATACTAGCCTCATATATTACACAGAAAACTAGCTGAAAAATATGCTTGTGATCTTATTAAGTTTATTAATAAGTAAGAATCAAAGTAGTAAAATCTACCTACCATTGTGGATTCAAAGTTTCAATTTTGTCAACTTCTTGCATTCTGTTCCACCTAATGTGAAAACAAAGTATTACCATCATGAAAGAGAACCACCTTTCTAATGCCAAACTTAAACTAGTTGATTAATTACATGCTTAAGTAATCCAAGACAGGAGGTGAGCAAGTTTCTTTCCAATTCACAAAGTGTTTACTCTGGAGTAAAGTGGCTGCTGATGTTTGCTAACTGTATAAAGGACCTGACTTCCCTCCCCTCCCTCATTTAAATTATCAGCAAAAGCCAAATTGCCTAATCAGTGTTGGGAGGCATACTGGCTTTCAAAGTGCACTTTCAATGCAGCCAAAACCCCAGTTCAAAAAATATATATTAAAGGGAGGGATTAAAATAGAATACTTTAGCCTTGCTTTTTTAAAGACTGAAATCTCTTATATTTGCACATACATGTCAATTTCTTCTTTTTATACATTCTTTTCTTTCTCATCCCATTTTGTTTTCTCCCTATGCAATTGTAACTATATCCATGGACAGTTTTGCTGCAAGGATTCCAGAGATGTGCTGTAACTATAAGACAGGCCAATTTCTCCTCTTGTTAGTACACCAGTAGTTCATTCTGAAAAAATGAGCATATTTGCTCACTAAAAGTACATACATATTTAAGTTTATTGCAGTAAAATACTCATTCACACAGTGTGTATATAGGTAGTCCTCATTTAGCAACCACAATTGGGACTGGAAACTTGATTGTTAAGTGAACCAGTCGCTAAGTGAAACCACCAGTGCTTATGATCTTACTTCAGCTTTCCTTTGCTTTACAGACCTGCGAAGGTCATAAATGTGGGGATTGGTTGCAAAGTTACTTTTTCATCACTGTCATAACTGCAAACAGTCACTAAATGAGAACTACCTGTAGTTAAATTATGGAATTTGTGATCACAATCTATAATAATGGTAATCAACTTTGACAGCTTCAGACAATTTACATACCACAAGGCTCTGGTTGACTGCTAGTCATGTTAGCTAGTGTGCTATAGAAAAAGTATTTGTCCCCTTTTGGATTTGCTAAATTTTTGCATATCTTTGCCACCAAATATTTTCCAAGCTTCAGCTTGGTCCTAATGATAGGAATCTGAGTGAATAAACAGCATCAAAGTTGGAGAACGTTCTTTTATTTCATAAACAAATTCATATAACATGCAATATGCTAGCATGAAAAAAGTAATTGCCTGCTTAGATTCAGTAACTGCTTGCAAAGTCCTTTAACTGAAGTAACTGCAACCAACCCTACTTTCTGTAATTGGTGGTCCATTGCTCACATCACTATGTGGAAATGGTGCCCTATTCCTCATGGCAGCTAGCTTCAACTCTGTAACATTTGAGGGTTTGCAGCCATGAACTGCTTGTTTCAGGTCTTAGCACATGCAGTTGTTTTTTTCATCCATTCTCTTGTACGTTTAGGATCATTGTCCTGCTGCATGATCAACTTTTGTGTCTGCTGACAGACAGCTGGGGTAGTATTCTCCTGTAGAATTCTCTGATAGAAACCAGAATTCAAGATTCCTTCAATGATGCTGAGTCATTCATGTCCTGAGGCAGCAAAGCATCTCCAAATCATGATACTACCATCTCCATGCTTGATAAGTGGTATAACATTCTTATTGTGGAACACAATGTTTGATTTCCATCTAATTGAACAATATCTATGTCGCCCCAAAAGTTTCATTTTTGACTCGTCTGTCCATAAAATGTCCCTCCAGAAATCTGCAGCGTCATCCAGATGCTTTTCAGCAAATTTGAGACAAACAGTAATTATCTTCTTAATGGGCAATGGCTTCCACCTTGCTACTCCCCCATGAATCACATTTTTTACCCAGTGCTTTTCTGAAGGTAGACTCATGAACACTGATGTTAGCCTAGGTGAGATAAACTGTAGATCCCTAGATGCTGTTGTTGGGTTCTTTGTGACCCAATCCCTTTGTGAGGGATTATTTTATGCTGTAATCACTGAGTGATTTTGGCAGGACAGACAAAAATCTGAAAGGAGCAAATACTTTTTCACATAATTATATTAACGTCCCCAAGCAGATAGATAAATGAGAAGAAAAATTGCTTTTTTAACAGTTGGGAACAAAAAAATGTTAAGTCATCCAATGCAATATAGCAGTAGTTGAATTTTAGTAATACTAATGTATTTATTATAACATCTTTATCCTACCTTTTTTCTAAGGGCATAACATAGCTTACAACAGGCCTTTCCTATGTTTATATGTGCATCAACAGCCCCGTGATATAGGCAGAACTGAAAGAGAATACCTGGCCTAAAGTCACACTACACAGAAAAAAATCAAGCTTTCTTGAAGGGTTAATTATCTGCAATACATGTTAAAATCAGTTTTCAAATTCAGATTTGCTACTGAATTCAAGTTGGTGGCTTTGCAATGAAGTTTCCCTTTAAAAACATGTTCTATTCCAAAATACCTCAGACCAAACCTCCCCACTCTGCTACTTTCCAAATATGCTGGCACTATATTTCCTAAAATTCCAAGCCAGCATGGCCCTACATTGTCCAGGTTCTCACAACATGCAAAGCCATAATGAAGTTTCTTTGGTTTTAAATTAGGACATGTGAACTAAGCCACTGTAGTTGGTAAATGATGGTTTATAACTTAACATATTTTGTGAACCCATCCAATGATATTTACTCAATAAATCATAATTAAATCATAGCTAAGGACTCTTGTGTGAACCCAGTGATCTGGCTCACATTATATTAAGTCATGATTTGTTAAACCAGTTAATCCAATAAGCCAAACTGACTAGGTATATGCTATACATTTGCCAAGAGAAATCACATTATAGCAAAATGCTACACATGGATCTACTCTTAAGATATTATTTGATTTATACTCTGCCTTTTTGATCTGGCTATGGTCAGTGTTATCAGAAGCTGCTGAGAAGTCCAGGAGAATGACCAGGTCTTCATACAATTTTCCAGTACAGGTCATCCATCAAGACAATCAAAGAAGTTTCAGTACCATATCTCACCTAAAGTCCCACTGAAATGAGTCCAGAAAACACATCGCTTCTAAAAATGTCACTGTATGCAGGACTTAAGCGACTTCTGACAGATTAGCAACAGAAATATTCAAAGCCCTATTTTTCTAGTAAGAGTAGTGCACTTTTCTGAGCACCAGGAAATTAAGACACTGTTGCACTGAAGGAAAAGGACGAAGCTGCACACAGCTAACGAGAAACAAGTGTGCAGTGTTTTGGTACAAAATCAACTAAGGTTCACATGGCATAAGTAGAGGGAGATAAAGAGCAGGAGGCTGTTGAGATTTTAATCTATTTATAACAGAACAAACAGAAGAAGCAGAAGCAGTCCTTTGATATTTGAACAATCCAAATATACCGTACTGATAGGAAACATTCGGTAAAGCAAAAATGAAGGGCTTATGCTGCAATGTAGATGATTGTTTTTTAATCTTATCTGAATCTTAAAGCTGAAGTTCTAGGTATAAAGAGTTAAGCACTTGCCAAGGATTCTGTGCCCCTGTATCGCATTCTTCTCCCTCCCCAAATGTTCCCATCTTACTTTCCTGACCCATCACTGCCAACATCCAACACAACACAGCACCCCACAATTAACTGAACCATGGTTTACTGAGCCAACATCCAACACAACACAGCACCCCACAATTAACTGAACCATGGTTTACTGAGCCAACATCCAACACAACACAGCACCCCACAATTAACTGAACCATGGTTTACTGAACAAACCCAACTTCTTGGGTTTGCAGACCCACCCAACCATAAATTAGCCTAGCCAGTCCCATTTCCCTGTAGCATATTGTAGAATTCACACTGAAAGCTTACAATTATTTTGTCACCTTCAATTAGCATACTGAAGCTATTTCTCAATATGGATTTTCTTTTTCCTCAGCAGGAAAAAGACGTTTTCTTTTTCTTCACTTCTGAGGAACATAAATCAGAAGGGGAGGGGAGGCTCTGATCCTAACACCTACAGCATCCCGCCTTAACAAACTCTCCAGAGGCTGCTTCTAAGTGATGCTTCTGAATCAATAAGCGGAATCAATTCGCATACATGGCAGAGGGCGAGGCGGCTGACAGGGTGCACTGGCTGCGAGGCACCACCTTTCAGTTACGCGTATGTCGCCCAATAAACCACAGCTGGGTATCGCCCAAAGCCACACAAACTACACCGTGGTTTAGCGCGATCTGTGAGCTCAGCCAAACTGCATTTTGCAGAATCAGCACCCTTTTAAAGAACTTGTCTCGACCACGAAACATTGCAGCCCGACCGGGCGGCGCTAGTGAACGTCAGCAGCACTCGGGCACCTTCTCCTAGAAACCGCTTAAGTTACCACCGGCCTGGACGTCCAAACGCCCGACTTCCCTTCCCCACCCACCCCCGAAATAAAAAGAGCTGCTGCTGCTGTCTGTCCTGCCCCTGCGAAAGCATCCACTCCCGGGCCTTCCCACGGGGCAAGGTAGGCTCTTTCCACTTTCCCCGCAACTTGGCCAAACCCGTGCACTCCCGCGCCCGGCCAAGGTGCCGAGTCACGCTTCCCGCCGGGTGGGCGGCCGCTCTCTGCTTCGGGCGCCAACTTTCGCTTTCCGGCAGCGCCCGCCTGGGCTCGCTTTGCATAACGGCTCGAGCTCCGGGAGCTCCGCTCCACGCTGCGGAAGACCCTCGCTGGCTTCCCCAGGCCGGTGCGTCGTTCCCTCCCACAACACTCACCTACTCCCTCTCCCCAGAGAGGGATGTCATCCAGAGGGGAGAAGTCGGATCCGCCGGCGGCCGCCACGCTACGATATCTCGAATCGATTGCGCAGAGCCCCGGCGACCAGCGCGTCGGGCAGGGGCAGCATCGGGCTCCTTTTCCGCCCGCAGAAGGGAGGACCTTGCTGGCTGTCGAACCGGAGGGAGGAGCGGGCGGAAAGGTCTCCGCGGCTTCTGGACGCGCTATCTGTACCGTATCGCCCTTGTCGGCGGCGCGAGTTTAATGCTCCGGCGGCGGAGTTTGGTCGCGGTTGCAGAGATGTGGAGGTGGCGGCGGCAGTTGTTGAAAATCGCCTGTCCACTGTCCTAAATGCAGATAGGCGGGGAGGAATCCCCGTGGAGCACGGCGGGATTGTCTTTGGAGCAAAGAGACAAGGGTCCAGACTGTAAAGCGGCTCAAATGTGCAGACTCGCAATCGCTGTTCCCACGGAATTTCTTGCGGAATGAATACAGAACCCACGGACTTTTGTACAAAGTAGCCTATAATTTGTGCTTAGCCTATGGCATTGCAGACAGGGGAGGCGGGGGTCGACTTTACTATTTCAGGTTGGCATTACCCCATCTGCAAACGGAATGGTTTGCATTTCAAGCTAAGCCATGCTTTGCTTAATTATGGTTTCTTCAATAAATCAAAGTTGGCCAGGTTCACAGAACATGCTAAGTCAAATTCAGGCCGCATTATGATTTAACCATAGAATGAAATGTGAATACTGTCATTGGTAAAGGACTGTAACTCAGTAATAGGACTGGTAAAGGCTCCTGTCTGAAACCCTTGATGAGGCAGTGACAGGCAGCGCATACAGTGGAAACTTAATGCATAGCTTGACATCACATGGCTGGCTCCTCTTTTCTTAATGGATATTAGGATATAATTTTCTGGCCATTATCTCTTGGAGCAGAAGACAGTGGGTTGTGCTATCTCTAATAGGTTTGCTTAGATCTATTTAAGTTTTAGATCAATTTAAATAAAAAGCTACTTATCAATACCCTTTGAGGCTACTTATAGTGAAAACATATTTAATTCTGATTCATGAACTTACAGGAATTTCTGCCTGCCTCTTCTGAGTGTATCCAGTGATGCCATCTGTTCAACACTATTCTGGAGAGCAACTGGACATACCAACAACTTTTAAAAAAGTCGTTGCTGCCTGTGGTGCATGCTTAGAATGGTGTGTCATCCTCAACTACGTCTCACCTTTGAGTTTGGCATTATGTCTCCCATGTAACATTATCCTCTGTTGACTGATTATCACAACAGTCCATACAAACAACAGAGACCAAAAGATGTTTAAATTGTTTGACAGTCATTCAAACATGCTGAGTTACTTATAAGATTAATGTGCCTTATGTTGCCATAACAAAATAAGAATTATTCATTTAACCCAGGGATGAGCAACTGTTGCCGCACCTGAGGACTGCCCCAAGCTTTGGGTGGCATGTAATGAACCACATTACGAAAGGTGGCCCGGGGTGGGGGGTAGTACTATGGCCATTTTGAGAAGAATTTTCAGGAGTTTTAAGGGGTAAAATGAGTGCTACAAGCCTCTGCAAACCTTAACGCACTGACGTTATTCCTTAAATCCTCCAAGCTCTCCCAAAATGCAAAATGGTGCCTAAAATTTTGACTTACCTCCTTTGGAGAGATGCTTGGGGATTAAGAAAGGGTGGTGAACCTCTAAGCCACATGTATTGTGTACTTGTTCTGGTTTGATGCACTCCAAATGTTTTGGACTATGATTTCTACAAGCCTTGCATTAGTCAGACTGGCTAGGGTTAATGAGAATTCAAGCCAAAGTTTCTGCATAGTAACAGATTCTCCACTTCTAGTTTTTACATACAAAAACAACTAATGTTTGTATTCTGAAATCTATGAGAAGAAAGAGTTACAAAATGAGAAAGTCATATTTATTTTGATATTCCCAAGGAAGATATGCTATTTTCTTGTCAAAATTGTTCTAAGAGCACAGAAATAACATCATTCATGAAGTCACCGAAAACCCTAGGACATCATCCAGGGATCTGCAAGCCTGTGTTCATGACTTTATCTTCAGAAAAGTAGTTGATGAAAAATGGGATTCATGGAAGAGTAGCAAGGTGGAAATCACTTAGAAAAACATTGACACTTGTCTCAAGTTTGCCAGAAAGCATCTGAAAGACCCCAGAGACTTCAGGAGAAGAAATGTTTATGAACAGGTGAGAAAAGTATAGAAAATGAATTCTGCTTGTATCAGAGAATTTTATAGGAGAATACTGGTCATCTGTCAGTTGAAGTGCAAGTGGGTCAAGACAGTGACCCCAGACATAAAAGCAAACCTGCAAGAGAGAGGGTAAAGAAGAACAAATTCAGTGTTTTGGAATGGCCAAGTCAAACTCCAGATCAAAGCCCCAGAGTAAAACTGGCAGGATTTAAAATGAACGGTTTATGCTAGCAAAACCTCAAATGTTACTTAGCTGTTGGAGAAATGGGACAAGATTCCCATAGTCACATGATATGATCCCCAATTGCCTGGGTACAATTCTTGCAGCTAAACAATGCAATCACTGAAACTAAGGGGCAATTCGTTTTTCACATTGGCCTGCTACAGGCTAGATGATTTTGTTATGAAATAAATGAAACAAGCACCAACATTTGTTATTTATTCACTTGGACTCAGTTTCTATATCATTAGGATCCAACGATGCTTTGATAACATTTAGTGTCAAGATATGCAAAAATTCAAAAAATCCAAGTGGGAGGATACTTTTTCATATAGCTACAGATCTGATAAATGAATGCAGAACCATCCCATATTACCAGATACTCATTTAAGAATGGTTTGCAAAAATCAGATATAGTTTATTTTTTCTCTGATGCAGCTATCTGCAATGGTGGGAAGTTGTCTGTGTGAAGTATGAATTTATTTGGTCAATATACTGTATTTCTTCCACTTTACAAATTGGTGGTTCAGCCCATCATGGTGCCTGTTTGGGGGGAAACATTCACAACTGTGACTGTTCATTTTCATTTGGAACAGATGATATGTCTATATCTCTCTAGAAGGGCTAGGAAACTGTGGCCCTCTAGATGTTGATTAACTACAACTCCTAGCTATCATAGGCAATGGTGAGGAATGCTGGGAGTTGCGTGATATCTGCCATGGACTTGCTGTAATGCACCCACTTTGTGATCCCAAATTCACAACTTAATGGAATCAATGTATCTATTAGCCACAGAGAAACTATTTTGTTAAAACACTTTCTGTAAAGGTGAGAAAGCCTGAGGATGCAATACATACCAAAACTGAGGGGTTTTTAGCACATGGTCATTGGAAGTTTGTAACATTTGAGTTTATTTACAAACATCAATAATGAATGTAATTGTGGAACCCAGCTTCAGACATCTCTCAGTCAGCAGCCCCAAACTCTGCCAGAAACAGATTTATTTTTCTAGCTTGTACACCTCTGTTTTATTCCATAACTCACATAGGCCTTCTGTTGTTTCTTCTCACATAGGACTAAATTACATCATTCTTGATTAACCAGGTAGGGAAAAAAGGATATCCCTTGAGATATGTAGAGGAAGACTCAGGTTTTTCTGCATAATTAGTCTCCCTATTAAAAGAGGTACTCAGCAATTTTGCAAGGGCTATGAAGGGAAACATGTAAGCAGAAAGTTTGGCTCCTTACAGAATCCTTTCCCAAGATCTGTTTCAGTCCCCTGTGCTGGTCAAATAGCAAGTGAATCTTTACAGAATTTGTACCAGAAATGGTGGAATCAATATTAGGACAAGAAGTCTAACAAAGGATCAGGCTGAGTGATAAATGCTGCGGACCTCGGCGATGAGAGAATGTCAACTGGCGGCGTCCAAAAAGAGAGTCTTCTCTGCCATGGCCCCCGCCCTATGGAATACTCTCCCCCCAGAGGTGAGGCAGGCCCCAACTCTCTTGTCGTTTG